TAAATATTTATCGGCAAAAATATCCAATCAAATCATTTTTGCTCCATATCATGTGACTATCCTCTAAATGCATAACTTCTCTAAATGCAGTATGCATTTAGAGGAGTCTCACTGTATAGACATACACCCATCCTCTCATCTATCACCAACCCGCACCAAGTTACAGTAAATTCGAGTTCTCACTTTTTTCCAGTAGCACGAAGGCATATGTCATGTTACACTGATCCAATATCTTCTGTTGTTCACTGAACAGCTAATTGTCGAAGGGGTTCAGTATGCATCCGCATCTAGATTATCACATTCATCCAAGTGGGTATTTGCAAGTTTGTGTTTGTTCCCTTTATCTCTTCTAGCAACTTTATTGTCTTATTAGGTTGTGTGGACATCATACGACGGTTGGAAGAATGCCATAACGAAGGCTTCTTTGCTAAATACTTTGGCAAATGTAACAAGATAAAATTAGAATTGAACAAATGTCTTGGAGAGGAGGTACAATCAAGTCCAACATGTCGTTAAATCTCTCTCTTATAATGCTGTATTGATCACTGCTTCTACTAAATTTTGGTCGTCTCAACTCTCTACAGTTTGAGATTCGACGTTTAAAAAACGCACAAGAAGCACGCGAGAAACGAAAGCGAGTTGAGAAGCTATGGAAAGAATTGAATCTAGAGTGACTAGATTCAAAGTTCTGTCTACATTGCAGACGCTTTGATCAGAACCATGACATCATTGTAAAGTGAAACGTCTTTCTACAGATGAGTTCTGGCACTAACAGGAAGAGGACACCTATGCTTGAGCTTACGAAGCTGCTCAGGCGTAGATTGTAAACTTTATTGTCTAGTAAAAAGATCACAACCTGCAACACAGATGTTCTATGCGTTTGTAGACAATGTTTCATTGACTCTCTTTATACTCTTATGATGTGTCTACTTAAGACAATATGTTATTTTATTAATTCAAGGTGTATCCGGTCCCGATAACAAACGAATACAATAACCACAAAAACTGGTTGTGATTCAAACTTAAAATACGAATTGCCTGGTCCCTTCTGATTGTATTTAGAGACTCAATATTCAAATACTTTGTGATTTTCAATCAAGAATGACACGGTGGATATCAATAGTTATAAGGCTCGAGTCCAACGTCATTGATATTTACGTATGTATGCAGGGTACAAATACAAAAAATCGTCTTTTCGCTTATGTTCACTACATTTGCAAGATCACAACGTCATATGCTATGTGTCGCAGTAAATAATAGTTACCGTATTTCTCATATGTAGCATATAGTAGCGGCATACTTGAGGTGAAGCCCGGGAACAACCCAAACAAAGCAAATAAAAAAAAACAATGATGAGCAAGTTCAGGCTATACCAACGTTTCGCAATGGTTCCAAATATTTAACAACATTTGTGCTCGTTTATTGATATCAAAAGGATTTAGACGTGATTGGAAACCCAATAGCGAGCGACGAGAAGGTTATACACAGTCAGCTAAAGCGATCTCCCTCTTTAGCGGCACGACATAGGTATAAATGACTCTCCCAATACATGAAATATATATTGGAACTTACGTTGTGATCAAAATAGTACCCGCTGTTATCATAAATAACAACTTCTTTCAGTATCAAACTTGCAAGTCCGTGTCTCTCACGTGACTTCCGACGACTTTTTTGTCTCATTAAACGCTACAATAAGTGTAGGAATTAATTCGAACCTACTTAGAAGACAATGCTACTATTGAGTACAGCTCAATATAGGTTATTCAACGCTGATAGAATTTAGGAAGGGAGAGTGAATTAACAAATGTTAGGAAATCTTAGAGAATTCGTTATTAATTTCAGTGGAAAAATTTAACTTACATGCTAGCAACAATCCCGCATAAAAAGCGAGTGTCCGAATGTTAGTATCAATACTATTATTTCTTTGCTTTGATTGAACTGGCGAAAGAGATTGGATCTTTGAACCCTGAAATCTTTTCTGTGGCATTATTGTTATGGTTCAAATAATAAATATTCTCCTCGATAATAAACCGTAACTTAAATTAATAATAAGAGACTAACAACGAGCAAATAGAACTATTGAACAGACGATGGTCTTGCACTGCGGATGCAATCCCAAAAAGTGCATGGTAAGCTTATTCGCTCAATTGGCCTGTAATCTTTCGCATTACCTGCGGACCATGTAGTCTCGGTACGCGCAACACTACACACGATGACAGCCTTTGAATGTTGAGCCCATATCTGCACAAGTTCTTATCAGGATGTTCTTTATCTATTAGACTGAACGTTGGAGTCTGGCAGCATCCAATGCAATGGATAGTGAATTCCATGCAAATGCGTTACGTTTTCGAGTAGTTCTCCAGTTTGGATATTATCTTATGGTGGCTTATGTGTATTATGATGTCCGACATACAGTAGGCTACTAGTCACGTACCCACAAAACATACAGTCTATCTCATGGAACTTGTTTCTTGTATAATGGTAATAAATTCTGGCGCATATGCAATTACCGATCCCAGTGGTACCCAGCTACACCAAACACGAAACATTACGACCAAAGAGTGGTTTTGTATATGGTAAGTACGCGACTTTGTTTTTGTTGATAGATAGCATCACTGTTGTGTTTTGGATGTTTGTTTACTATACCAAATCGAGTAGTAGAACGATAATTTAAAATACAAACAAATGTACAGCTTGACTTTACACGCTCATTTTAATTTTCAAATGACACCTATTAAAACAAACCGTAAGCTTGTTAACTCGCTCTTTGGAAGGAAGACATCTGTAATGCAAAAGAAATTTCAAAATAAAATAAAATAAAATAACCAACAAAAACTGGAATTTCTTTGCGTTTCTGTGAACGTTATGTTCACTTTCTTCGGAATTCCTACCATTCATCGAACTGGTCGCCCACAGAAATTATCTCCGTCGTCAAATTGGATAATTATTAAACATAGAATTGAAGGCTATGCTGGAAACAAAATACTCAGAGTTAGATGTCAGTGAGCGCATTATTTGCCGCAACCTTAATAAACTTGTTATACTTTAGTTCTTCCGCGAAGGGTGTCCTGTTTTAACCAAGCAAGCGAAAGTTAATCGGTTAACTTGGTCACGTGATCATTTGCATTACAATTGAAACAAAGTAGTTCTTTCTGCAATCTTAAATGGTTTGTAATACAACCCATGCATGGTCACGCGGAAAAAAACAAGTTCAGCCTATGGTTAAGCATCCATTTAAAGCTCACGTTTGGGTTGCGATCAACATTATGGAAAAATCGGGATACACATATTTACAGAAAACTTATCGAGAAATCATTTGTATAATAATGCCAATAACTTGCTGTGTCACAAGTGGGTTTTTCAGCAGGATAATGACCCAAAACATACATCCCGTAATGTTCGAGGTGATTTGGAATCTCATCTTCCACGACGTGTTTTTCCTTGACCTTCTTACAGTCCAGATCTTAATCCGATTGAGAATGTCTGGGCTGTTTTGAAGCATAATGTTGAAAAACGCATTAAAAAAATGGTGACTGAAAAAAAAGAAAAATTATCAAACCATTTAATTAAGGAGGAATGGGATGGTCTCGAAAAAGATGTTATAGTTAACAACTTTAGTAGTATTAAAAAACAAGTTCAAGCATGTATTGAAGCCATACCAAGTATTAAGTCGTTAATAAAATTTGTAGCCATAATGTTGGGCTTTCACAAAAGTTTTTTTTATTTACCAACAACGCTCAAAAACTGACCGCCATTACTTTGCCGGTGACTGTACTGTTATAAGCAATCCTCAAACATGTCAGCTTAACTCACGTAATTCACGCTAGTCTGCTTTGATATCCTCTTTCTAAGACACATTGGTCATTATCCTATGGGGTTCTTGGCGACGGTTAGGTAAGTAGTAATTTCTTCAATGTCACTTGCTAACGATACTAGCAACTAATATAACTTTCAATGCTTCTTAGTAAACATATTGGTAAAGTTCAAGCACGCGGTCAAATTACGAATAAGATTTTATTCCGATTTTTACAATTAACACCAGAACTTGATCAAAACTAACGCGAACGATATGTTCGAGAAAATTCTACGTGCGATACAATTGGATGTTTAACTAAATTCTACGATTATAATTGGATAGTCGACTAAGTTTCACAATCCGCTTACACCGCCCTATATTTTTGCGATATCTAAAATTTTTAAAAGCTCTTCTTTTTTTAGCAATAGACTTATCAATTTGATCTTCGTTCCCGTCAAAGGTGACATCAGATCAGACTGATTATGATATGGTTTTGATTTTAAAAATCCGAGGTCATGTGCCGAGTTCTTATTATCAATACGTGGTATAATGTCACAAATATGGGATTGTGATACATGTTATTGCATTCGTTGAATGAAATGTGTGTATGGACACCTTTTATTTTGTTAATCAAACTACCATGTGTATCTTAATCTGCTTTATATTTAGCGTTAGTGTTGTGTGAGATTAAGATGTTTGATTAGATTCTATTGCATCGATCCTTCTCAAGAACTTTTGCTGCGGATGGAGTTTCAAATTTATTGTCCATGAGAAACATGGCCAGAATTCGTATCATTGTTCCAATGTGTGTGAACATTGACACCCAAAGATTGTGGGATTCTGTAAACAGTGTCTGGCTCTTGTTTGTTTACGTTACATTGTAGCACTAGAAAAAAAATGATGAAACCCCCTGAAACTTCGTGTTCACTTTGACCATCTAATTATGCTGCTCTTTTATAATTCCAGGCATCAGCTCATGCTTTATGATTTACGGGACTCGTATATAATTTTACTTTGGGTCGTTCTCCTTACGAGGTTGGATGGGACGGATTCTTTGATGCTTTTGTTGAAAAAAGTGGATTGGTGCAAATACGGACAATGTTTTGAACGATAAATATAAAAGGCAAATACATATAGTTATACTATTGGGGGCTGTATCACATCCAGAGTTCGTGGGAAATTGTAAATGATGCAAAAAGGAATTCGATTGCAGCGAAGAGAGAAGAGAAAATCTCGCCTATTTATAATAAGAAGTATATTACAAAATGATAGTCTTTGTAACACTGTAACTCATTAACGATCAATTGTAAGAGATGATACACCTGAAACCATGCGGTTGCACCACCACGCTAAAGAAATTCTGGGTTGTTTATTGTGTATATTAATATTAATATTATAGTTCCCTTCCTCTTATTGACAGCCTTTTCTCTTCTTTGAACAAGGTTATATTAAATGGCGCAAAGACGTCCCCTCGAAATCTCTATCACTGCAGATAATAATAAGGGGATGTCCAAAACAATGGCAATTTAGTTACAGTCGTTTTCGATTGGCTCTTTTCCACAATGGACGAATAAAATAGTTCATTTGTATTAACGAGAGAGAGAGAAAAAAGAAAAAGAAAAAGTGTGCAGATCGTGATAAGCAATGACTAATAGAAAGAGTAATAACAATACGGTAATTGTAAATAACAACAAGATTAAGCCAAAATCTACGAGGAAAGACTTGTCAGATATGTCCGTGCATACAATATAAAATACAAGATAAAATACAAGACACTCTTTCCAACTTTCATCATAATCATACACGTTCACATGATCTTCTATGCAAAACTCCATACACCATACACCCCACCGGCATGCTCGTTCAAAAAATGGATGCTATTTAATACATTGGCCATGGCAAAGCAGATCCGCGGTTAAACCATCATAAAATAATCAGACCATAATATAGGCATCCAATAATATTTGATTGGTCACGATTCACATTACGCAATATACACAGTTTTATCTCCAAGTATGGCTTATCATCATCCAAGCCGGGTTATTATCCCCGAGGAAGGGGGGGGGGTGACGTTCTTCTCCCTGTCATGTACCGAAACCTTCTCAATACGCTTCTATTACAACTGATTTACGAATCCGCATAGATTGACATACTCAGCCAGACATCATTTGAGAGCGATCGTCAATGATGATGATGGGATTTGCAGAAAAGACTTGGAAGGGAAATTTATTTAATTACGTATCACGTGTTGATAAGATTGACAACATATGCTATGTAGAGAGAGAAACAGAGAGAGAGAGGAATCAAGGCTAGAATATAAAAGTAATTTTCGAATATTAGATCAACGGCTTGGTATAATATATTACCATCAATAACTTGAGATTTCATTAGTCGGCTTAATTAATGGTATATCGGCTCGGCCGCTAATTCGTACATGTACTCTGCTGCCAACACTCTTCTCTATAGTGTTCACGTGAACAATAATATTAATAGCGAGCCGCAATATGCTGGGAAAAATCATTGCATATGCGGGATAAGCTTTCACAAAGAAGCTTACTGGTGGCTCGGGATTGGATACTCACCGATGTTGTTTTGCATGAATAGGTAAAGAATATGACACAGACAATTAGATATATATTTGTAGTTCAATGTGCATTATTAACTGTGTAATGCATTCTAACAATAAAATATACACTAGATTTAAATAATGTCTTGTCTATTGGTATTTATACATGTTGACTCCAATAAAATGCATTCGCATATTAAACTTCGGGTTGCACCATCTATGTGTATCATCTCCCAGTGCGCTTCCGTAGTTGGCTTTCTGTGTAAAAAAAATACAGCCACAACTAACCTATAATATACAATCAAAAGAAAAGAGTAAATTTTCCCATTTTTTTCCTTGCTTTGTTACACGCATCGATTTTTGTTTAAATATAATCTTTTTCCCCCCCTTTTTTGCGAAATCTCCACTTTTGACGCATTTTCATCGGTAGATATTTCCCCGTTCGCTTTTTTCCCTCTCTTTTTTACACACAAAAAAGAGAACAAGTGGCTCACCCCATACGTATATATGCCGACGTTGTGAGATATTCATAATCGCAAAGAAGAAGAAGGAAAAAAAAGAAAACAAATCCCCCCCCGCTCCGCTCAGTTCTTTCTTAAAAAGAAGCGCTCACCAGCGGATAACTTGTATATTCCTAGCAATAACCAACTCGGGTATTTATTTAAATATTCTGAGAAAAAAAAAAGCGTATTGTTCGTTTACAGTCTTTATGGACAGAAGGAATATATATATCCTTGCATTGATTATACTCAGTGCTATTCCCTCTCTTGCTTACGATAATGTCACAGGTTAGTTTCTAGGCAATTGTGTTGAGGGCGAGAGGGTCATTAATAGTAAGAATTGTAATATTTATTTGACGTGTTTCAAGGAGGATGTCTAATAGATGAAAGTGCGAATTTACATATTTTGTCTGTCGTGAAGAATGCAATCGCTTACTCTTAACCAATTTTCTGTTTATTTTATATGTAGCCACTGGTATAGATTGCGAGTCGTTGGTGACATGTGGGGAGTGTGTCACACACTTGGAGTGTGGTTTCTGTGTCAAGGTGAGATTCCTAACAACTATTCTTTTACTACTCGAATGTCTTGCAATTGAGTTTGCTGTGATTACAGTCTATCTGTACACTGGTGATTCGTCACCTTCCCTATCCCCACCCCACCGCTCCACCACCCCACCACCCCACCACCACCATCACGCCCTTCCCATTCCCATCGGATTCCCATCGGATCCCCATCGGATCCCCATACTATCATCGAGACTAACTGAATTCTATTCGATTACAACTGATAGGATAACAAATGCGTGCAAGCCGGATGGAAGGGTCCACTTGGCAAACATAATTCGTGCACGGAAGACAAATGGGAATATCAATTTGGACAATGTTTCGGTGTGTTATCAAATCAACAGAAATATTTACGATGATCAAAGACATATCTAGACTGACGCACACACCTCTCCTCCCTTTGACGATTCGATTCTATCCTACCCCTCCTACCCCCCGCTCTAGTGACCCACAAACAAGCCCTTATAGCCTTTTCTTCCGCCACGGCCGGAATCATACTCTTTGTGCTAACTCTCTGTATGTGCTGCTGCTTATGTCGGTGTTGCTTACCCCGTCGACGCCATGACGAGGAACGCACACCTCTTCTCCTTGCCGAAACACTACCTACACATCACTTCCGTCGTGGGTCGTTTTATAATTACAACCGTACTCGTCCGTTCGAACGACGCGGAAGAACACTATCTTCGGGCAGTACAGCCAATTCTTCGTCCTTGGGACTTAGCAGGACTTGGAGGACAGGAGATGAATATTTGTATAGCTATCAGGCACCCGGCTACTCATGGATCGGAGACAGTCCGCCGGTGGATTATAATACCGGAAATAGTGCAGGAGAATGGCGAAGATGGGAGAAAAAACGAGAAGAGTTATTGGCCAAATATGGAAAGAGTAATGAAGGCTGATGATTCCGATGGAAATGCTTTTAATGTAATGGTGGTGGGGTTGTACTTAATGGCGAGGCTTGGCTAGTAGTGGAATTATACGGGTTCTTTTTACAATTAATTTGGTACTTCTTCGAATTTCCTAAAATTCCTCCTTCCCCCTCCTCTCCTCCTCAGTGAACTTTTTTTATAATCTCGTCTCTGACACTCATATCACAAAAGGCTACATAATTGCATAAATTATCTTTTTTTTTTCTCTACCTTTTTTTTTCTTGTAAAAATTTCTTCATTATCACACATATTCTCCAATAACCTGCACAAAAACCCTTTCTCTCTCTTCTTCGAATTTAAGCGACGGAAAAAAAAAAGTTTGCACTTTCAAGGTTGTTTTTTTTTTTTTTTTTGGATTTGTAATGGTGATAACTTATCACGCAATCCTTCTCCTGTTGAAGTGGTACCGATTAAAAGTTATTACACTACTACTACTTGTCTTTCGAGTAAAAGACAGTAAATAGTTGATTGAACTTTCATATCAATGGGATTTTTTTCCGTGTACAAAATTCTTCGTTTTATTTTTCGATCGTGATTTTTTTTTTCTCAAGTTTTTGCTTTCCCTTTTCCTTTCTTTTATTTTTCTTTCTTCGTTTGTATATTGTTTCATAAGCTGCCTTTGAACGCTTGCAATCATAAGCGACTTTTGAGTGAGATGAGGTTTGTGGAATTGTGCTTTTTGGCTATACAAGATTGAAATAATTCTTTTTTGCTATGTATTCGGTGAACGTCGCAGGTCAAGATTATGCCCGAATATATGGAATATCAAAGTTGTAATTGTTCGGCCAGGAAAAAATCGTATTATTTTATTTTATTTTTACTACTCTTGCTCGTCATAACATAGTGTAAAGCGTTTGTAGTAAAGCAAAAAAAAAACTATATATTGGTTATTAACTTCCAATAAAAAAAATACACTACTGATTAAATCGATTCGGTAAACAGGTTCCGACCTTTGATGATTGTAATCAAGATTCCCAAGAAACAATAAAGTTACACCTGTAACAATAGTACTATACACACATATGCAATATTCCTTGGTGTACCACTTATCGTTATACATGTCTTTCTTTTTCTTTGTCTTCAAATTACCGACAACGTGTTCAACATACGATTGCCTTAATAGTGATTTCTGGTAAATAGCTCTTCATCTAAACTTTCTTTTTCGTGCTATTAAGATTAATTAATAAATGCCAATATAAGAAAATAACCTGCAAACACGTACTATTTGAATCAGATTTGGATAATTGTGTGCCATCAGATGACCTGCTTCGTTGAAAATCAATACTCGATAGAGGCAAATTTGTGTTATACTTTATCGGATATATATTATTGTGATAAACCCAAACTTTATTTTATCGATGTCCGAAAAGTTCACCGCATGACTTCTTATTTATAAAACCGGTTTACAAACCTGTATTGATAACGATACGCACACAAGTGTCACCAATGCAAATGAATCAAATTCATCTAGACCGCTATTTGTTACAGCTTTAAAAATCTTAATCAGTTTCATGATACTAAAATTATTGACAGGTTTTCTTTATTATTATGCGTGCATTACTATTACACACCCCTCACTATCACTGTTTATATCAAACCTTTGATGTAACTATTTTAAGACAACAAGAATTTTATCTATTGACGGGATTGATACATGTCAATCAAAGAACGTTTTACTTCTAAGAATCATAATGATACAGATAACAGTTGCATAGTTTTAAATAACCGATTTAGTATAGTTCGCTGGTAATATTGTTTATTGCATTGTTAATGAGTCACAGGCCAGATAAAGTCTTACAATGGTTACTATACACAATAATAAGATACACGTGATTTAAGTTTTACCCAGTGTATATTAATACAGTATCTAAAGTATTTTATAAGGGTCGTTTATATAATAATAATCTTGATATTCTTTTACCGCAAAAATAAGATGTGAGGGAGAGATGCAGTTGTTTCAGATTGGTCCCGCTCAATCTTCAGACCTTGTCACATGAGAGATATGACCTTCTATTAAGGTGTGCGTTACAATCAAAGATAACTATCGAATGTCGTTCAGTAATGAAATTGTACATAGTCTAGTTTAAAATGAGCTCGACGTTTGTGTAAGACTGTACGTGTCTTTTAAGAATCACGTGCTGATAAGGAATCGAGATTAAGTATTAGTACAAAAATGAAAAGGCAGCTACCACATAACTTTTTAATATCGCACTAATGCATTAACTATCGCACCTAATGCATTAACTATCGCACTAATTAACTAAAGCAATGGTTCCGTACGGAAATGTTCCTCCCCCTTCCCTCAACGAAAGTTCTAGTCTATGTTTTATCCATCAAAGAAAACTCCTTAAACTCAAACTATCAAGGTAAGACTGGGAAACCGAATATGCACACCTCCCCCAACACATCTTGCTAAACTTGATTGTGGCAATGTAATATGACATCAGCAATAGATTAGAGATTTGATTGCGATATATCGCCACAAACAAGTTTATAATGCAATGCACAATAACACTATCCCATCCATCGATGATGAACGAATGAATTGGTTTTTTAATTTATCGAGTTTCTCGTCCCCTCAATCGTCTTGTTTATTATTATGTAATTCGCTTGCGAATTACGTAAAAGTGTTTACTTGTAATAGGTCTCGGATTTCTTTTTTGGGCAATATTTTTTGTAAATCTTATGAACAATTTAAAATTGCATATCGTATAATGGCGAAAAATCTGGTACGCTGTCGCAAGCCTACTTTTGTTTTTCTGATAACAAATTGTAATAGTGTAAAATAAGATAACAAAATTTTTCCCATTACCCAATTGGGATCTTTGCTTAAAGAATTTTCTAGAGCCAGTTTTCTTTCTAAGATTTTCTCTCGTACAATAATATTGGTTGGATATTTGACAAGCTATTCTCTTCATTCCTTAATTGATTTTACAAATTTGACCTCACAAATTGTCTCGTATTTTTACTTATAAAGCTTCCGTGACAGTGAAATTATTATCTTGTCTAGGAGGACAATATCTGCCGTTGCCTCACTAGATCTTGACGTGCTAAACGTATAGCGAAAGTATATCTAAACAGACAATTTTGACCAAGACTTTATTCTCATGTAATTACCGACGTTGACAGCCTTTTAGAAGATTGTAAATAGATAATAAATTATTACTAATACAACTCTTAACCAAGTCAATAATTGTATGGCAGCCAGCGACGTAAACGCGCGAACAAGCATTAAATTGAATCAATATTATTGTTCAATCACTTAGCATCCATTCTCACATTCAATTTTTCCGATTGACTGTATGTTTATATAATAACCACCGCAAATTGCATATTAATATTTTGTTCTTCTGGGCCTTCTTTTGTCTAGTCTGTTCATTCTTTTTTCCGACTTTAAATTAGTTGCAATTTTATAGAAATGCGAGTGATTATACAGTTTTTTAATCACATAGTCATGGTAGAACGTGCGCGTTTTAACCATTGCTACAGTTCCAGAACAAAACAATGGCGGTGCTTATCAAATGCAATTTACACAATAGCTTTATTAAATTGATCATGATGCAACGAACAGTTTGATAGTTTTCTTATTTCGATTCACACACTATATATTAAGTTATAAAAGTTATTAGAATTTTCTTCAATTCTTAAAGGTAAAGTTAGTAGTACCAGCACTCAAACAATTGCACTTAAATTTAAATAACTTGACAACGAAAGTGTATCACATTATAATCTTTTCAAAATTCAGACACTTGCTTATAAACATTTGGAAAATAAATTTTTTGTGTAGTTATTATGCCTGTTTTTGTCTTATTTAAAAAGAATTCTCCGCCATTACTTTTGACCAGGACTGTACTTTGTCGTGCCTTTTCAAGAACCTGTAAAGAAATATACCCAGATTGGAAACCTGATACTTTAACAATTGCCAGTAGTAGTGATAAGAAAAAAATGTCGCTCCACATCTGTCTACTTTTGGTATGAGACTTAAAAATATAATGGCTTGTGCATTGTTTACTGAACTTGTCCGCAAGAAACTCTCAGTAAGCCTTCAAAGCAAGGAAATTCTCGACAATATTGCAAATAAAAAACCATTCTCTTTACGGATGCTCGGAACACCCGAAGTAATCAAAAAAATATGTGAGAAAAGTGGTAAAAAAAATATAAACATGTACGAGTAAAGAAAGCATTATATCCTGTGGATAGAGATATCTTTGATTTTATGCTTCGTCCACCTAATGATGAGGTACCGGTTATAGATAGTCCTCTCTTAATTGCCCTAGAGCCAGTATCAACCAGAATATATAACTCCTACAATAAAGCCACTGAAACTACAAAAGCTGAATTCGAATTAATAGAATCACTGCTTAAAATCGAAGGATACTCGCTTTCATATCCATTAAAAAAATATCCCGACACTTTTCCATTAACACGTATAACATCCTCACATTGTCCACTTTGTGATCGAGAGCATACTAGTGGCAATGCGGATGATGTGGGTGAAAATTTAGATAATGTGACATACGAACCTTCACCTGATTTGATAAATCGTACCTCAGCCCTTAATATATCTGCATCACAAAATGACAGTGATGCTAGTATGCCCAATGCAGGAGGAAGTAGTCAACCACTGGAATCTATAAATGAGGAGAGTTAAATTTCGCTTAGTTACTGTATAATTGCGAAACAAAAAATAAAGCTCTACTCTTCGTGGTTAAAATTGCTTGTATTAAATGTTTACCTACCGAAATGTATTCCGCGGAGAGTGATTGACGCTTGCTAAACCACGATTAAATTATGATTTCCTTGATCCCGTGCCGATTTACCTTTCAAATATCTCGTGACTTGTGATCGATAACCTGATGTAATAATTCGGGGACTCATTTCTACAAAACCACATCGTATTTTTTACTCAAATGTTTCGTGATTTAACTAAGAAGCTTCAAGAACAATTCCGACTTCCAAAATTTCCAAAGGAACCTATAGAGGAGAATAGGTAACATATGATTTTATGATCCTTTACTTTAAGTTCCACTTAGTGTTAGCTCATATGAATTGCAGTTTACCTTTTAAGATTGGTTCCAATATATCGATAAAAAACTACAACAAATTTCTTGAAAGCCGTGAACTATCTGGGTACAAGCTTGAGTATAATAACGGCAACGTTTTTATTATTGATATGTGCACACAAGAACATGAAGGTGTTGTTGTACTATTGCAAGATTATTTCAAAATTCCAAATGGTGGCGTTATTATTAATCCACCAATAATCGTTTCGGGTCAACCACGTAAGAAAATTCAAGCTTTGACTTTCTATAGATTTTCTAATATCTTACATCCTTTTTATAGTTCATCCTTCACCAAATGCAAATATTGCACCGAATGTTGCAGTATATCCGGATGAGGCATACATTCCAAGACCTCCCAATACTGGACTTGGACATCCCCCAAGCGACACAAGGGTGCACTGAATTTGGTGTATATCATCATTATCTGTTTTGTATACAATTTTCTAATACTTATACTTTTGTAGGGGAATTCTCATGCTAGAATAGTATGTGAGGTTGCAGTTAGTCAAAGTTACCGTGGATTGAAAAATAAGTGTAAACTTTGGATGAGTCAGCAATACGTGAGATGTGTATTAGGAATAAAGCTTTATGATTTGCGAACTACACTTAGTTGTTTTCCATCGTATATATTATTCGATCCTATAAGTGTTATTCCACCGTAAGAGTTATTCCATTATTCCGTTGGCAGAAACTGTTCGAATTTTGATTGTTTATATATCTAAATTGCTACTGCGGTATAGCTATTCTAAAACCTAAATGGTCCAATAGCTATTGCTAAAATATTGATTTACGTCACTAAATTTTACGTCAGATATTTACATGTTTGTGTAATACATTTAAGTGACCATCTGACGTACTAATATTATTAATCGTAAAATGTTATTATTAAATTCGTCGTATAACAATGCTAATACCCTATATGCAGGGAAAATTTCATCATCTCGTCTTATCCAATCTCTTCTTCATAATAATTTTTTTTCCATATTGATATACTGTCATAATTAACAATAACAATTTCTTTATTATTATCTTAAACATTAACTTTGTAAC